ACCCTGTATGAGGCAAATGAAAATATGACTCGGAGTGAAGATCCTCATAGTATCAGTCCACTCCATTTCAAATTTGATCGTTTTAGTGTAAGAGAGTTCAAGATTATCAGCATTTATAAAAGTTCATGTTTGGTAAAAAAAAATATCGAAATTAATTTATATCTTCTAAACGGTAATAGATAGGTATAGGGAAATAGTATATGAATTTGTTGACAAAGTGACGATGAATCATAATATGATATTATATACGGGGTGTTCCATTTGAAAAATCAAAGAAGCTGCTACTTTATAGTAGAAGCGATAACGCCGCTTCATCTCAAATATTTTAGGCGTGTAGGTCATATTGATTTATGCATACTGTGAAATTTTCAGGTTGATCCGTCGAATAGTTTGCCTGAAACGGCTAATTAACGCTCATCATGAAAAGCCATGTATACAAATCAATTTCACAATATTGCCTATCTTTTTATTTTTACCATGTGTCCTTATGTAATAGTCAGTAAATCTAATACTATCTAATACTAAAATTTCAATAAGCTATATAGCAGCGGTGGTCAACCGGTCGATCACAACAATTAGTCCAGTCGATCGTGGCAAGGCAAAAAATGTAAATAAATAGACCAGACTGCGTAACGTAATCACCAGCTACTACAGCATCATCTTGTCATTTTTCAATCGCTGTTCCGTCACGGTATTTATCCTCTATTCTACGCAGTATAGTCTTTTGTTTTCGGCCCGCGATGACCAATAAGCGGGAAGCGTGTGAAATGCGGGGAAGGGACGTGTGTCAATCCGTCCCGTAGTCACGTCTCATTCAGTTCAATTCATCAGTTATCCGTTTAAGGATTCCATTGATTATAGTGATATCTATGAATTGGCTACAAAATTCGCAGATATAATTCAAATGGAGCACATTATGTTACAAAACGAAATTATTACTCTGCGCTGTGACATATTTGTAAAAGCAAGGTCATCCTCAGGTCAAGATTTCTGGGCATTGGTTTCCAACGGAAAATATCCAAATTTGTAGAAATGTGTTGAACAACTTCATTCGTGTTTTGGTTCAACATATTTATGCGTTCTCGCTTGACAGACGCTCATACATTGGATTCTTTGAGATTGGCGATTTCCAACTACAAACCTGATTATGGTAAACTAGTGGAAGATACTGCGACGCAATGCTCACACTAATATATAGATAGGACCTATAAATGTTGATTAAACATCATCAACTCAGACTTCCATTCCAAAGTATCAAGTGAATTTGAGAAAACAATCTCATATGTGATACGAAAAGGAACTCCTAAGACTGTTCAATAAAAATATTTTATGATTGTGTACTAAACACTATGATGTTTCATTTAAGATTTCAAGAAGTATGTAAGTGGTAGATCGCACAGGGTTTCGTTAGTAAACAGTATGTCTAATCAAGTTGGTTACCCCTGCTATATAGTATGCTATTTGGTATTGGTCCGTCATCGTTATCCATAATATTATTATGTTTACTTATTTCTATACTCTCATAGGCATCTAGTTGCCTGTTTTTGTCAACTTGTCTAACTAATCTTAATGAACTGAAGTCTATGGAATGGTTTTGTTGCAAAATATGATGGGCGACTGCTGATTTTTCAGGTCTTCCATATTTCAACTGTGGACACCAAAGGTGTGGTATACCTGTATGTGTGGTTCACCTGTGGTATACCTGTAGGGTATACCTGCATGGTACATCTGTATAGATAAATAGGGTTAGCCTTGCAAGTTTTTCCAGTTTATTCTTCCCCATGAAGATGATCACTTGGTGATCGAAACACGTTTCGAGGTGTTGAGATAACGATTTGGTATTGGGAAAAAAAACTCCAGTAACATTCAGAATTGATGGAATTAAAAAAGTTGGTCAACTGTCACAGAAACGAAAAGACACTTGTTTTTTATCCTTGAAAAGAATGAGTACTGACTTTCTGACTGAATGAGTTTATTGCATTGTCCAAATTTCTTGATATTCCACTGGTAAGTTCGTGAGTTATTGTGTTAAGAGTGACACCACTTCTGTTATTTTCAAAACACTGAGAAAAAATACCGTTCAAGCGGAGCAATGGCTTGAACTGTGTTATAAGGACTCTCTCCATCAAAAAAGATGATCAAACGTTGGTTTGCTGATTCCAAACGTGGTCGTAGAGACACCGATGCAGAACGCAGAGGACGTCCAAATGAGGCGGTAATACCAGAAAACATAAAAAATCAACAAAATCGTTTCGGATAATCGAAAATTGAAGTTACGTGAGCTAGCTGACATTTTGAAGATATCAAAAAAACGTGTTAGCTTCATATTGCATGAAATTTGACTATGAGAAAGCTCTGTTGAAAGTGGGTGCTGCGCGAGCTCACTGTTGATCAAAAACGAAAACGTCTTGATGATTCTGAGCAGTGTTTGGCCATGTTTGCTTCGGAATCAAAAGTATCTACATCAGTGTGTAGCTGGCTGGAAAATTAACAGAGCTCTTCCTGCATTTGACAAGCTGTAGTAACGAATAATTTCGTACATGCTTCAGTAGAAATCCTTCAAGGTTATGTCAAAAATAAATAATTCCAAACAATTCGAAATCATTTATTGATTGAAATCAAAAAAATTTTACTGATATTTTCATTGTTATAACTAATTAGATTATACGTTCCATTTTTCCAGGGATTCTCAGTTGATAGTAAATTTAAGAATCAATATTTTCAATATAACTATATAATGTTTCGTATATCTTCATGGGTAAATTGTATTTCCATGCCATCAGGTACACTAGCATTCCTATTTGGGCATAATTCCAAATTCTTGCCATCACTAAAAATCTGAAAAAATATTCATTGAGAAAAACAAGTGATATAAGTAATGTGTTCATATTCAAAATTCCTTGCCTTGCTAGTGGTTTATTTAATAATGCGTTTCGCTTGTTTTTTCCAACACTATTGATTGCTCTACTGGGAATCATTATCTAATTGAGTTTGAGAAACATTTAAGGAAAAATTGAGGCAGCTAGTTTCAATATCAGATAAGTCACTTTCAACAAACTTCACAAGAGATTGAAAAAACTAATAAGATAGCTGTTTGGGTTACGTTTCAAAATGAATATTTTAGAGTCATTTTATGGGCTATAAATACCTCTACTGAGGAAGCTACTGTATTAGCGAAACGCACTCAAAAATTAAAAGGTTTGTGAAAATTGTTTGATCATTATCATGAATATTGTTATTAATTTATATGAAGTAACGGTCAGTCCATTGTCATGATAAATACAACCCATACAGCACCAAATATTCATGAAATATTCCCTGTATATCATAAAACGAACGTATATATTCCAAATATTCATAGAATATTCTTGGAATATATACGTGCCTTTAGAATATTCATAGAATATGCTTGAATGAATATGGCAGGATTATTTCCGAAAGAATGTGCATAGAATGTCTATAAATGGATTATTCTCCCTTGAATATTCTAAGAATATTGTCGATCGAATATACCATATGNCCCCCGAAATATGCTTTTGTGTATACCACTGATCTATTTCATTTACCATGCAATATTCCACTCAAATTTTTCTTTATTCTACTATTCGACTATAATGATTTTTTTTAGACGCTTTATATTAGCTTCACCTGTATGTGTAACTCTCCTTTCCATTTCATATCGGTATCTGTATTTGACAGAATTATCGACATTATTGCTTGATCTATTCATGGGCAGATGGCGCTGTACGTAACTATCAAACATTACTTGATCTATTCGCGGGTAGATGTATGTATGTATGTATGTATGTATGTATGTATGTATGTATATATGTATGTATGTATATATGTATGTATATATGTATGTATGTATGTATGTATGTATGTATGTATGTAAATATATATGTATGTATGTATCGAGTGGTCCAACGAGAAGTATGCACCTTGCTTTTCTCCTTTTTTTGTAACTTAACGCAAAAATGCTCGGACAGGTCAATTTTGCTTTTGAGGGGG